TTTAGCAATTTAACAAGTAAAAAGCTTTCTGTCAGAACTAGTGGATCATGCCACTATTGAAGGTAAAAGAAAGGTATGATTATGTTCCAGTAAAATGTTAAATTGAGAAACAGGTCAGCTGGCTGCATTTAGTCTACAGCATAGGGGTTTGCCCAAACCCCTACTTAGTCTAGAAGATCAGGAGAGAAATGACCTTCAAAGCTAATCAAAATAATTTAGCTGAACTATATCCCTTTAAATAAATGTATTATACTTAGTAAAGGATTGTAAGTTAATTTATTTATTTCGATTAAATAGTGATAGGAAAAGGTTGATATCCTATCCAAATGTGGCACTTTATGGATGACATGTGACAAGGTGGCTTTACTAGGTTAGCCTGAACATTGCAGTAGTGTGTCCTAATGCGCGTGCTTGTTGTAATGAGAGCTTTCTAGTCCTCTTAGAATAGTTTTCCATGTCCAGTGGGCGGACTGCGGGCGAGCTCAGACCGTTGGCCCCACCTGGAGCTGTGGCAGTTGGGCAGGGCTGATGGTGTGGGCGCGGTGGAACTGGGAAGGCGAATCCACCACCTGCATCCCTGAACTCCCGGTCTTGCTGAGTGATTGCCTTCGGGGCCCTCGGAGCTGGCAGGCAAGACAGACTGGCCCTGCCCACCGCTGCAGGGCGGTGGGGTCTCCTGTACCTCCACAGCTGCCGGAGAGCAGAATGCAGCGCAGGAAGGTGCCCGCCACCCTCAGGCCAGAGGAGCCTGCGGAGAAACGCTCCCCGCTTTCATGGACGACATGCTGGACAAATTTGCCCGCCCGAGAATTCCAGTGAACAACAAATGGAGACTCCTTCCCAGCCCCCAGGCTGCGTTGGCAAGTAATGATTGCTCATCGGCACCTCGAGGTGGTGGAAAACATTGCGAAGCTCCTGGCGGAGAATGAAGTCCCACAACTTTTTATAAAGATGATAGAAAACATGAATTCAAACCATGATAAAAAGGCACCATGGTGAGAAAAGGACTTTCTCATCAAAAAGAAATGGCGATGCAGTCCATTAATACTGCTTCTAAGACAGGAAATCTTAAACATAGTCTACATATTTCACCTCAGGAATTCAGCCATGAACTGAAAGTGGGGTCTGCAGATGAGAGACTTGTATCATACCTGGAGTCCCTCCCTGTGTCTTTGACCAGCAATCCTGTGAAGGTCTCTTAGGAGAAATCTGCTGAGGACCTTGTGAGAAAATGGTGAAAAAGTCCACCACCTCCTTCTCTACCCCATAGATGTTAATACCGAGCTCTAAAGGGAACAGAGCATTTTGTTATCCTGTAACTACAGGAGCGAGCTGCCTCCATCCCTTTGATACCAGTTATTCCAAGTTGAAAGAAAAAGGAATCAAAACCTTGAGTGGAGATACGATGAGGTCTTTAAAAGACAAAAGTTACTGCAAATTTTCAGACTTGAAAAGATTTCAGTTTCAAAACAAGTAACCCACAGAAGCTTCTGGAGTCCTTTCTTATTCTTTGGTCCTGGAGACCAAAAAGTGAGCTATGCCCGTGCATGTCTTGAGTCATTTCTTGCTCTGACCTCGCAAGAAGCCATGTGAGGGAATTTCAAACACCAGCTAGAGAAGGCCCTGGCTGTGCCTGGATTTTTCGCTCATTAGTACAGGGAAATCTTGGTGGTAGCCTGTGAAACTCAAGGATAGTTAGCTCGTTTGGTGGTTTGGGGGTTCTAGTTTTGGTTTTTTGATATTGCTTTTTTGATTTGGGTTTTTTGTTTTGTTTTTCTTTTTTGACTTTTTTTTTTGTTTTGGTATTTTTAACTAACATCTGTAGTAGTTAAGATGTGCAGTGAGAGTAGTCAGAGTAGTGAAGTGTGGCAAGAGGACCAGCTTAAGCTGGTCCATCTTCACGGACTATTAATGGGTCCTGAGCGACATTGGTCAGAGTGGCTTTGCCCAGGTGAAATTAGCCTGCTATCTCCTCACCAGGACAGAGGTGACTGTAAAAAGTCCTGCCAAATATATAGCAGCACTTCCCCAATCATATTCGAATAGGATACAATGGGGACTAGAACACTCAAAAATGTGATCCAGCTGTTTCAAATTATTGACACATTGAAAATATCTACCCAGAGAAGGTTCAGGTAGATCACATGTACCATGTGCTACTACCAGAAGAAAGACATGGCTCATGGAGACTTGAAGCTGGAGAACATCCCAGTGAGAGCCAGAGGAAACATCAAACTCATTGACTTCAGCCTGAGTAGCAGGTTCATGGTTGGGCAGAAGCTGGACAGGTTCTGGGGCATTGTCTCATACTCTGCCCCATAAATCTTCCAGAGGGAAAAATATGAGCACCCTTGCAGTGAACATCTGGTGCCTGGGTGTCATTCTGTGTTTTACGGTCATAGGGTGCCACTCATTTAAGAGGGACGACTGCTTGGCAGCTGACAGAGCTGATCCTGCATGCAAGGTACTACATTCCCTTAGGTTTCTGCTGAAGCATGAAACCTCAACTATTTAGTGACTGTGGACTCCACACAGAGGCCTGTGGTAGACCAAATCATGGGGCGCCCATGGCTGAGTCAGGGTAAGGTATATTCACTGATCGTTCTAGTGCATACTCCCCAAACCACCCAGACTTCATAATAATGACAATCATGTTTAACATGGGTTGTGACCCAAACAATACCTGGGCATCTCTGACAAATAGAAAATTTCATGAGGCAATGGCTGTGTACCTGATACTCCAGCACCTGATAATCCAGGCGGCAGGCTGCATGATCTAGTTAAAGCCTGGGCATCCAGAGGCTGGGCCTTGCCCATGCCCCTTCTAATCCCTCTCTTCGCCCAAAGAGGAGTGCCAGTGAGCTTGCCCTTTGGCCCTTCCCCTTCTAGCCCTGGGAGCATCAGTTGCCTGAGGAGGCCAAGGAATCAGGGCTAAAGGGAGGTAAAAGAGCCAGCCTGCATGCAAGGACCCCCACTCCCAGCATAGCTCCCCAGCATGTCCCTGTGTGCCCCACACCAGCTCCTGGACGATCATCGGTGGGTGGAACACAGCAACAAGTCCTCCCAGGGTATGTGGCCAGAAGAAAACTCTTTTATATAGGGAAAAATTTCTCTCTATAGGGCAACCCCACAACCCATACATGGCAACAGCCAGGGTTGGCCCACAGCCTATGCACGGCAACAGCAAGGGCTGAAAGGGGGGACTAGGAGGATTGCCACCTATATTCAACAACTATGTTGCTGCATGCCACGTTCCTGCTGCCTGGCCTGAAAGTCAGGTCTGCATTCAAAAACCAAGTGGCTCCCATGAAAGGAGGACAGAAATGTGCTGGATTCAGAAAGTGACTCCAATGAAAATGGAGAGCTGAGACAGAGACAAAACCAATGGACAGCCAGAGGCCCCTGAGCTGTGTGGATCCTGATGTCATGGTGTGGGCACCGCTCAGGTGTGGACTCACACAGCTACTGGAGAAACAGTGCAAGCTGGTTTGGGCAGTGTAGAGCCACCTGGGACCAGGGCTCCTCTCTACACATACCTGGAAGAGACATCAGAGACTGTTTTCCCTGGGACACTTACCCCACCCTGCTCTTCTCAGTCTTTTCTCCCATGTTTCAGGGATGACAGAGATGGTTCTTAATAAATTTGTTTCTAAGGACAGTTAAAAACAAAAAGTTTTCAGCCTGAATATTTTTCTAAAAATAAAGCTGATTGTCATTTATAATCTAAGACTAAGGTAGCTGTAAGGCAGTGAATTGATCTGGAATAATAAGATCAATTAAAAATAATAAGAGGTGATGATGTAGAATGACGGTCTGTAGTTTTTTGTCTTGGTTTGATTTATTTAGCGCTGGGGAGTAAGCCCAGGGCCCTGGGCATGCGAAGCACCTCTTGTACCACTGAGCTACACCACTTCCTCCTGACCCATCTCTAAGTTCTGTATTTGATTTGGGAGGAAATATTTTTATGGTCTTAAAAGAAGTAAAAGCACTGGGTGTGTTACTCAGTGGTAGAGTCCTTGCCTAGCATGCATGAGCCCCTCAGTTTTATACCCAATATGTCAAAAACAAAAACTGTGCAAACCAGGCAGAGTGGCATGAACTTGTAGGTGCAGCTACTTTTTCTAAAAGGAAAAAAAAGGGGGGGAATTTTTTTTAAGTGGTATTCAACATTGCTTACAACCTATGAACAGGTTGAATCTGTTCTTGTTTTTTCTGCTGTCAAAAAGCCTTTTTCCGCCTTTTTTTCCACAACTATTATAAAGTTATTGGTGGTCATTTGTACACTTGCGTATTTGGTCATCTAAAATGAGCAAACTGGCTTTGTCGAAAGTTAGTGAAATACTGTGCCAAGTTGTTTCCTACTACTCTTATGTGTTTTTGAATAGGCCTTTTGTTCACTGTTTCCTTAACACATAATAGAGGATTTACATCCTAGTGTTCATTCTCTTCTTGTCTGTTTTCAAAGTGAAAAACATTTGCTTCACTCTGCTAATTTCTTCTGTTGAGCATCCAGAGGATTTTGAGGGTTTATGCCAAAAATTCTTTGGGGGAGTTAGAGTGTAGCCATTGTCAAGAAGAGTTTCCGTTCTTAATGACCATTTCATCTAACAAGTCATTGTGACCATTGTCATTTGTATTATGGAAGACACCCCTTTCTTCTTTCCCAAATGCTCAACTTGAATCCTGTGGTGGGAGTAATGAAGAGATGTCTTCTCCTTTTTGCAATATTTTACCTCATCTGCTATTTTTGTCCCTGTATAAAGTATTACTGAAGTTTTTTTCTTCTGATATTCTACTAGGCAGTGTACATTGCAGAGTTTCTGAACAATCAACTGAATTCTGAACACAAGTGGGGTCTGTTTGGCTCACATAGTGTTAAATTTCTGTGTTTTAGTTGTCCATAATTAAAATTCAAGTGATTTTGCTCTATACCCTCGGTATCACCTAGCTGGTAGATATTCAGATACTTAACTTTAATGTTGCTGATTTTTATCCCCCAGGCTAAAGATCTAATAATCACACCAGCCACCATCTTGAAGGAAAAACCAGATCCCAATACTCTGGTTTTTGGAACTGTGTTTACGGATCACATGTTGACAGTGGAGTGGTCCTCTGAGTTTGGTTGGGAGAAACCTCACATCAAGCCTTTTCAAAACCTGTCACTGCATCCTGGATCATCGACTTTGCATTATGCAGTAGAAGTAAGTATATGGGAATTGATGATGGTGACGTGCTTATACTTCACTATGGAAGTCAAGTAGCTCCCCTGCTAAAATAGCTTTTGGGTATTTTAGGCTTTATCATATATACTAGAGGGAGTCATAAATGTCACTAAATTTTTTTCCCATAGACAATTGAATTGAGGATAAGTCCTAAGAAGATTTTTTTTTTTTCAGATAATCTTGAACTTTCTATGATGTCAATTAAAAAACAAAACAAAACAAAACAAAACAAAAAAACACTTAGAACAAATAGAAAGGATAGTTGGTTGGAAAATTAGTGAACAAAAATCCCATACTCTTGATCTTTTATTAAATCACTTGTCTTTTCTGATGTTGGAATGATTGAGAAGGGGTTATTAAGTACATTATTATAATTAGATTTTAGTGCTAATTGCATGCTTTTATGACTAGCAGCAACATATAGTTATGTACATTAAGGGACATGTAATTAAATGTTCTCCTTTAAGCATGAGTTGATGAGTTGGAGTAATCATAGGCATAAGAGTTTAATGAATTTTTTCACTAGTCCTCCTGAGGAGACACAGTTAACTAGATACTTGCAATTCTGTTGACTCTACATTTCATTTTATTCCCTTTTAATGTGTTGGACATCTTTCCCAAAATATTGAGGGTGCTGAAAATAGATAATGGTCTACCTATTAAGGGAGTAAAAGATAATAATAGTGAAATATTAATAGCTGTAATGATAACTATTTTGTGCATTGAGTTCCTTCATTGTGTCCTGTATTATGTACCTTATATCCATCATTCATCTCCTCTAATTATCTTAAGCAGCATATGGTTAAACATTCAGGTTCTGGAGTCAGACTTTCTGGGCCCAAAATCTGCTTTAGTTGCGTCCTTGGGAGTTCTTTAACTTGGGAAAGTTAATCATTTGTGCCTTTCATATTTTTATCTATAAAATTAAGATAGTGTTGATATCTACCTCACAGTGTTCTTCTAAGTATAAAACAAGATAATTAATTCATGCATGTAACACCATGCCTGGTGCACCCTGAGCGCCCAGCTGTTAGCTATGGTAACCCCTGATGCAGGAGCATCATCTACCATAGAAGCTGACTGAGGAGAAGTTGTTTCTCGCCCACTATTATGTAGTGAAGATGGAGCCAGGATTCAATCCTATTACTCTTGGAGCTTACTCATGATCCTAAGTGTATGCACTAAAAAGACTAGGAGGTTTATTTTCATTAACTTGTTCAGAATTAGAAAATCAAATAATTTTGGGAACATATTCACTATCCATATATATCCACAAAATGTAAAATTTAGGATTCTTAAGTTCCATTCCCAGCTCTCTCTTTTAGCTGTATCAACTTGGTGAGTTCTTCTGTAATTCATGCCAAGCCCTTGCCATGTCAGAGCATGTAATGAAGAACAACTGAAATTGCTTTTAATAGAAAAGAAGGTATTTGGTAGTATGGTCAAACTAGAACACTGCTCCTCAAACTTGGCACGGTCCCACCTCCAAGTTTCCGATTGCTAACAAGTGTTGAGGTCACCTTAATTCTATTGCTTTAGGAACCCCATTTTTGAGACTGGCCTACAGGAAGTAAATTAGAAGGGATTATACCATTTTGGAAAGATTTTGGTGGTCATTGGTTTTTGAAAGCTCTTTGGAAATCTACTTAGATGAGTTGAAATGCTAGCTTGATTAGTTTTTCCAATTTAGAGTCCTGTGAGCTGATAGTTAAAAAAAAAAAAAAAAAATCTCAAGGCTAGGGCTGTAGCTCAGTGATAAGAGTGCTTACCTAACCTGTGTGAGGCACTGGATTTCATCTCTAGCTTTGCAAACAAAATAAAACAGGGACTCAAAATACTGTTATCCTTTCTTGTAAAAACCAAAGTCTTTGGATTATTAAGGTTCTACTTATAAAAAAAATTAAAAAGGTTTTCTTTAAGAGCTGGATTGTGTAATGTATAGTTATCGACTTTGCATAACAAAATGAATGACTTATTAATTATCTTCCATGTTTCTGGGGGTTGTGTAGTATGATTAAGTAGTTTATTTTAGGGGGTCTCTTACGTGGTTGCTGTCAGTGGCTGGGTTGGTGTCAGCTCAAAGGCTTCTTAAGTCACATGACCTGGCACCCACGTGGGGACTGAAAAGCTGGGGCACTTTCAGTATCACTCTTTCTCTATGTCATTTCTTGCTTGGTGGCTTCAGGGTAGTCAGGCATCTTAGATGGTGGCCTCAGAGTCCAAAGCTGTGTGTATTAAGACTGAGGCTAGTTGAGAGCTCCACTGTTTTCTACATTCTAGCCTCAAAAGCACATAGCATTATTTCTGCAGTATTCTATTAGTCAGGATAGTCACAGAGGATTGCTGGAGTTCAAAAGGAGGGAACAAATGCCCCACCTCTTGATGAGGAATATCAAAGATCTGAAAGAGCATATGGAAATATTGTTTGGCCATTTTTGGAACATACAGACTGTGATATGTAGAGTGAGTGCCGCAGTCTGGCTGGGCACAAATCACCTAGCTGCCACAAAGCACTTGTCAAACAGGAAGCTTTATTGCCCGAACTCCACCAGCACTCCAGGCACACTCCCCTCTTTCCACCTGGCTCCACTCTCTCTCTCTCTTTCTCTGAACCCCCCCCCCCCCCCCCCCCCAGAACTCAACTGGGAACTCCAAAGTGGCAAGTGGTGGGCGCTGGAGGCAGCAGGAACCACCCTATTCCTGGCCCTATTCTCCCCCTCCCCCAGCCACCCTATTGCCAGACAGCAGGGGTCCATATACAACTCAATACACAGCCTGTCCCAATCCAGCATCATCCAGTCACAGTAATTATAACTTAATTATCATCATCTTAATGGCTCCCTGGCATCACCTCTTAACCACTCCTTCTGGCGCCATCCAGACTTGGCTGTGGCTCTCAGCAAGTGAGGAATGGGGGAGACATTGATATGCATTTGGCTTTCCCTTTGAGTGACAGATCAGACTGTTAAGGTGTCACAGATTAGATATTATGTCAGTGTCATAGGAATTCAGGAAGCATAAAAAGTATAGGGTCCCTGGATTTTCTTACCAGGAACATTCATTTCATTCCCTGTTCACTTGTTCAATGAATGTTGAGTGTCTACCAAGTGCCCAGGACTTGTGATTTCTGTTAATATATGAAAGTATTTTTAAGTAGATAAACATGTGACGACTTCAAATAGTGGAAAGAGATGTGAATTGTGAGTAGGGAACATAAAAGGAAAAGAAAAGTTGATATCAGATACTACATTTCCAGGTTCAAATAAATATTTAGTGAAACAAAGCATAATTGTAAAAAAACAAAACAAAACAAAAACAAAAGGATAAGACATGTATGTACTATGTAGTATGTATTTAATGAATACTAAAAAATGAATGCTTATAATAGTTACCATGCAGGTAATGAAACAGAACACTTGAGATTATAGAAGCCCTCTATGTCCCATCCTGATTATAGACCTTGTCTCTTTCTTTTAGCATTACCCTTGCTTTTGTGCTAACCTTTCTTTGCTTTTTTGTATGGAGTGTGTGGATCTCTAATACTATAGTTTTGCTTCTTTTTGAAATTTCTGTAAGTGGAATAACATTCTGGGTGCGTCTGCATGCACCCTATTATTTGAGTTCAGTGTTATATGATCTATCCAATCAGAACCAGCTCTAACATTTGTGGGGCATGGGACATGAATATGCACAGGAAGCCCATGATCTGCCCTGTCCATGTCTTCCCATCCTGGCTCTATCCTATATTGCAAGTGCCACAGCATGCACACATACCCTCACCACCCACCTGCAGTGACCTGTGGCCATTCCTAGGACTTAGGCATGGGCACACCAGTGGTGCCATCTGGTTTTGGAAAGATAAACCTGAGGAGCCTATTTAATTCCTAAAGATAGGATCAGGGCTATTTGGGCAGAGTTTCGGGGAACTCTTGGAGCCTGGAGTAGAAGGGAGGCTTGAGGTCCAGGTGAGCATGTCCTTTTGGCACTTCTGACCACTTGCTCCAAGGAGAAGGTCATAACTGGAGCATGGTAGGAGCCAGAGCTCTCTAAAGTGTGGGGCTCAGGGCAGAGGCCCTGGTTACCTGGATCTAAGGGTGGTAGGTACTGCATTCACACGTCTCAGTCTCGGCAGTAGTAGTTTTATGTTATGTGAAAATATGCAGCCTTGGCGATGGGCTTTGTTGTTTCCTTCTGCAACATTATTGTGTGTGAAATGCTGGTACACTTGGGAGAGTTTCTCTAAGTTGCAGTTCTCAAAATATGGTCCAGACTCCGTAGGTTCCCCTGAAACCCTTTCAGAGATAACTAAGAATAAAACTCTTTTTGTAATAGTTAGGCATTACTTTTGTTTTTCATTGTATTAGCATTTGCACTAAGGAAAGCTTCCTTGTCCAACATCTGCTAGTTGGTCTACCCATCACAATTATCAAAAGAATGCCAGTTTTACCGCAGAATGTTTTTGGGGAATGTGTGATAAATAGCAACTTTATGTAAAGTACTTCTGTATCCTAAAGTACTATGTGTCTCAAGGAAAAGCGATTGTGTAATTCTCTTGAGCTTCTGAGTAAGTCTGGTTGCTTTTTTCATCTAACACCATTTTTCTTGAAAGAACAAAGTATGATTACTCAGACTTGGGCATTTGTCAGACGTTTTCTCGTAAATGAGTGAACGTGTCACTTTAAGCAAAGCAGTGGAAAGAATGTCTCAGCAATGATGAAATTCTTACTCAAATGAAAACTAGAAATTTGGAATTTTCTTTGAACTTGACCATTTTCATGGCTTTTAAAGAGCTTTCTGATGTTAGGGGTGATATAGGAAGTATGAAGAGATGTTAGTCTTTGGAAGATATGCATAGCTCAGTGAGCCAGTTTTCCCAAATTATCATTGCATGACATTTCAAATTTGTACATGGATAAAGATGTATTCCCAGGACTAGATAGCATAGGATGGCATGTCGATATGTCAGTATGATTAATCTG